ATGGGAAGACCTGGATCATGGTGAGTAAACAGAAGGTTTGGAAATAGGAACTGTTCTAGTTTTAGGAATGCTTCTTGGCATTCTGTTGGCCAGATCTATTTGGTATCCTTTTTCAGTAACCGATTCCACAGGCCATTGAGATGGTGCAAATATGGAAGAAAAACACAATAATGACTAACTATTCCCAAGGAGGAACATAAAGTTGGTGGAGGTATGGTCTTGATGGCCCCGACATTTTCTGTATCAGGGTTTCTTCCGTTTTTGTCGGGTGTAAATCCCAAATAGCCAATTTGCTAAATGTATGAATCACATTTCTCAGCAAGTGATCTGAAACCATAATCTTAGAACCGTACTCACCTTCTTCTCTATGTCAGTATAGTCCGTACCCATGATTAATATATCATCAAAATAGGCCACAGTACCAGGAATATCTTGCAGCCTAGTGTTCATAGCTTCTTGGAACATTGAATGGGCGGTTCTTACTCAAAAAAGAAGTCTGTCTTATCTGAAAAAACCTTTATGCGTGTTTATTGTCAGGTGATGCAAGTACTTTACGGCTACTGGAATATTCAAATATGCTTCTGATAGATCTAATCTTGTAAAATGATTTCCGCATTCAGTTTCGCAAGTAAGTCTTCCGGTAACAACAAAGGGTACTGATAGGCTTCAAGTGCTTCGTTCAATCTAGTATGATACTTTCGTTAGACTTCACTATTGGTGCTGCCCAACCAGAAAAATACACTTGTTCTATGACTCCACTTCTTTGCACGCTCTCTAATTCTTATTTAACAATAGGTAGCGCTGTATAAGGTACAGGACGTTTTGGTCTAAGAAAGAGAGTGTCTCCCCGTTTAGGAAATAGTAGTGCTCTAACCTTTTTGCGTTCCTCCAGTTTTTCCGTGATCTTCTAAATATTTCCAAAAAAGCGCTCCTGAGATTGTTCACTAGCTGTGGTGTTTCTATCAGATCTAGACCCAGCAAATCTATTCGTAGAGTTTCTATGAGGTTTAATGTCGAGATTCAGGATTGTTGTACAGTTTATGTAAATAAGTTTGTAAGTCAGTAATAAAATTCTGAAAACACTCTTTTAGTCTATCACATTGACAGGATATAAGCTGTCAAGTATTTCATATTGATAAGAATGATCAATTGCTAAATAAATCTATGTAGAATTCAACGCTTGAATATTTGTAAATGGTTTAACACCTAGAAAACTGCTGGAACCAGGTAATAAATCATTGTTAAATTTATGTACATTATCTGGTGTCAGTGTGGCAGTCTCACTGACTTCATCAAAGATACATAAATCCATTCATTAGTCTGTTTTGGTTGATCTCGTTTGTACTAGAATTCTTATTGTTGCATACTATGTCACAAATATCATCAGACGATAAGAAGACTAAAGCAAAATCCTCTTCAATGTTGTAAACGACTGCAGAACACTTGCAGCGATTCTGTACTACTAAGATAAACTCGATGCAAATATTGTAGCCTGCGGCTGCTGTAATAAGTGGGGTATTGTGAGAAGAGTTTTTTAAGCATCGGTATGTGGCTCGTCTTTTGTGTCTGTATAACAGACAAGTCTAAGAAGTCTAAAATTTACGAAAAGCTGTAATGAAAACCCAAACTTCATTCCAGTTAATTCAAGGTAACTTTCGTCAATAATACTTCCGGTTTCTTAGTTATACCAGGTTTGTTCTTGACAACTTTGTAGCTGTCTTCGAAGCTTGCCGTTGACATATCGCGAGTGGTTTCTATGTTACTGTCAGCATACAAAACAGATTTTTATGAACTTGATTCTTGATGCTACTGTAGGGTCACTAGTCTTTGATAACGTGTGATACGGATAGTCCAGCTACTCAGCTGCTAGAAATCCTGTTAATCTCACAGTCATTCATGGATTGCCGAACGGCAGTCCAGTGCTTCCAGGTTTTCCATGGTGGTCTAGCTTTAACTGACTCATGAATTCAAATAGTAACTTACTGTTATCTTCACAAAACCCCTTTCTGATAATACAATGGATGCATTTATTCCAGGGCACTGTGGTTTCTAGGAACAGCAGCAATTTTGTCACAGGACATTCAACTGGTCACACGGTAGAATATTTAAGGGTAACTATAATAAATAGTAGATGGGGGTAGAAATGAGAGATAAATAACTCAGTTGATTGATTGGTCAATTTAATAAGTAGTGATGTGAACAAACATATGTGAACAGATATCATGGTTGCTAACACATCTTAAGTCCCAAAACTGGAAGGATTAAATTGTTCTAATAAAAAATCTTATTATCTGCTGATTTTAAGTAGATCGTAGATAGATTACTTCGTATCGACGTTCCGATGACCAGCAATGATAATCGGATAGTGGCCGAATAAGATGACGGTTCGAACATGTCGGTTCGAAGATACAGTGCCGTTCATCATTGTCATTATTTAAAAAAAATACTTCGTGTACCACCAAACTGCTGAATACAATTCTTATTCTGAGAGGTGATTGTGATCCATGGTTGTTGGTAGTAAATTTGCTTCCACGTACAATGATCCATTTGCCTTTGACTCTACTACTGGCAAATAATTCTATTGATGCTACTCCGTGTTAAGTGCTGGTCATCAGTTTGTCGATTTCTATTATGCTTGAACTAGGAAAATAAGCAGGAAAGTAGGACAGGCGAGTTACAACTACCAATGATAAATGATGGAATGGGAGATTGTGTAGCGGAGTTAGTGGTTACAAAGAAGTCTTTTCTCGTCAGCCGTTGTAGCCAACTGACATTTCCATGGATACACGGTATTAGTGACGTTGGAATAACATTTGTTCCTAATCACACAATTCTTGAAGCTAAACTTTTGATGACTGGGAAGGATTACGCTCACCGCGGAGCATTTGAAAGAGGTCATGTAAGAGGAAATGTGAGGCTAGTAATCGAAAACAGATGGATCTGCCGTGAAGAAATGGTCACTACCTGAATATTGGAAATATGGAGTGTGCTGTTCGATCGTTAACTCAAATGTGTATCTCAGCTATTCTTAGAAATAACTGTTTCGACCATCGCAATAAGACGAATGGTGTGACTTCAGTGTGGGATCTTTCAGAAGAAGTGGCCTCATTTTGGTAGAACATCAAAATACTGATAGGGTTAACGGATAAAGTATAGAGTTGGTTAATAACGTGCAAGAATCTAAATGCTCATGTGTATTTATGTGCTACCTTTATTATTAGGCTCAATGTGATTGACTCGGTCACTATATCCACAAATACAGATAGCAATCAGTAACTTCAAATAGGGTTTATAATTCAAAGTAACATCAGATACAACCTCGTAAAAAGAGAGAAAATATAACCTGTTAATATGCATAATAGTTGAATTCACTATCTGTTAATATAACAGATGATGAAAGTGAAACGAAAAGCGCATGGGTAGCAGTGTATTTTTAAGCAAGGACTAGTCTAAGTAGTGGCAAAAATTACCTATGAATAAATCTATACCAATCATATCCCCAATACTGAACTCGGTCATTTGTCCATGTGGCATAGAGAAGTTTGCTAACATCGATTTTATGCCTTAACCTACTTGGCGAATCGTATGTATAAACGAGGCTTTTAAACATTTTATTAAAACTATCCAGCGAAGAGACTGCAGTTTACTCGGCTGAATGATCTACATAGGGTCATAGAGCACTAAGAGAAAAAAACTTGTTTATTTCTCCCATCTTCCTTATAAAATCCTCTAAGAGGTAACTACATTGAATGCAAAAATGAGGGTCAGGTTGGATGATATATCGAATGCAATTAAGTGCTTGCGATTTCGTACATCATTGACAGTTTTCTCAAGGTGTTATCTAGGTCAATTAACCATAGAGAAATTAGGCATCACCTGAAGTCATATTAGGGCTGGAGCCACGACATGAGCAACTCTTCACTTTAGGAAAAGAAAAATGGGGCATCCCACCAGAATCGATTTCGACACTGATGTAAACGTGACCACGGTCTTACTTCGAAGCCCACAACGATGTTGTCATCTCTTCTATCTAAATGAGACGTAAATCTCGTAGACTGATCAGACAGATGAACAACTAAGTGGGTTACAGGGTTACGGAGAAAAACTCTAAGAAGATGAACCACGAATCTTAGGATTATTTGTTCCGGGTTGTGGTGGAATAGGAGTGATCTGTTTATGGTACATAATGCACTTAGTTCCAAGAACATAAACACCCTGTTAAAAAAACTACCACGATCTCAAGAAAACCACTGGAAAACTGCACATCAAAAAGCGGAAACCCGGGTACGTTTCCAAGTTTTCTCAAGAAGAGTTGTTACAATTTAAAACGAACGATTGTCTTCTGCCTGAACTAGCTGTACTTGATACATATCTCGTAACCTATCTACTATCATCTCTATCACATATAACTAACTTATTCCTATCTCACAGATTTTCATCTCTGTCTTGCACGGTCCGCTAACTTTTTCTGCACTGCCAATTATTTGGCTCTCTTATTCATTGATTTGTTTATTTATTGTTTTCCCCCTTCTATGCGTTGATCACTTGGTTAACTAACTGTGATGAGTGGCTTCTCTTCCTTTTATTTCAAACACTGTTACTACTTCTTCATTAATTATTTCATGAAATGAAACTTTTTATCATTCGTGTAAAGTTCTGTAATCGTTGTACAGAGTCATAACGCGAGAAAAAAATGAATACATAACGAGACGTTTTGTTTAAACCATTCGCATAATTTACATTGTTGTTGGATTTACTAGACATAGTATTTAAATGGTATGATTTGTTACGAGCTCGTAATTTTAAGCTAGCACGCCTTGCAATTGTCGCTCTGCTTTACTGATTGCTATCGATTTCCTTCATTATTAATAGTAAGTGCATTCTATGTGTTTACTTTTCATCTTGTTTTTTTTTCAGTTGTCGTTACACCCGCTCTCCCACTATTCAAAGTACGTTCAGGCTAGACGCGAACCTCTACAAAGCCTCATTATTGTGGGGTGATGGACTTTAAGCAATTTCGCGATACTGCTGAACTTTCAGATTTTACAGTTTACATTGATAATGAGAGGTTTAAATTGCATAAGTTTCCACTTTATACAAAGTCTGATTACTTCAAGGAAATAGCAAGCAGCAATCCTGTTTGTCAGATAAATGACTTTCCTGGTGGTTCAAAATCCTTTGCTGTCGTTGCCGACTTTTGTTACGGCAAAGAAATAAACATCACTTCCGAGAACGTAGTTTATTTATATGCTGCAGCCGACCTCCTCAAAATGAAAGGCAAAGATAATTTACTGGAGATTTGCAGGAGGTTTTTGGATGGTGTGTTTCGTTGTGCTCTGGAAAGAAAAGACATAGTTAATCTGATATGTGTTTTATGTTCATGCTGTGAAGTTAAATCGGATGCTGTTAAGAAAATTTGTGAAGATGCAACCACAATTCTAATGTCATTATGGCTACATGGGGAAAATAGTTTGAAAGGCTGTTTTTCACCACACACCATGAATTTTACACATTCGGAACGAGAAATATTCAGTGACGAGTCAGTGTCTGACTACCTGGCTTATCTTCCCTTGGGAATGTTTTTGAAGATTATTAACATTGCAAGAGATCAGAATGTAGAGGAGAAGGTTGTTCTATATGCTTGTGCAAAGTACTTGGGTCGAGTTCTTGATCTTTACGACTCAGAGGTCTCCAGAAACGAGGTATCTAAAAATTCAGACGCTCAGAATAACTCTGACATGAAAAACGTTCCATCTAAAGGTATTTGCACTTATTTAATCTTTATTGCACTTAGAGGTTTCTAACTCAGGTGAAAATATTATTTCTGGTCAACCGTTTTGTGGTTTGAATGTAAAAATAAAGTTGGATCATCAGATAAGGCTGGAAAAACTGTACAAGGATAATATCAGCCTGTTTGAGGACTTAAAAAATACTGCAGAACAGTTTGAAAAAATTTTCGAAACTCTGCCCAAACCAAATGATATTTATGATTTTATTAACACCACGTGGATTATTAAGGTGAAACAATATTCTGTAACTTTATATTTACATCTTGAAACTACTATAATTTATAATTGTAAATCGAGGTTACACTAAGTTTTGTAAAGTACTTATATTTTCGCAACACTGGCTGAAATAGTCTCTTTTCACCGTTGGCAAACTATTACGAATACAACAACTCAAAGTTAAGGTCATCAAAGATGAGTAACAACTTTTAGGTTATAAGAATAATGCTTGAAAATATCCAGACTTAGCGTAACATCCATAAGATAAAAATTCGTCTTAAACAGCATTTACGAAGTGCTTTGTGAAAATGGAACTCTCAAAAGCTAACATTTCAAGTAGGTTCCGAGTGTTTGCAAAGAAAACATAATAGATTGATAATTAATAAAATAGTTTTAGAATAAGGGTATCTTATTTGGGGATCGGAAGATAGTCTTTGATTTCTATGGATGTCTTTATGGTTTATAATCGATTACAGCCCTGAGCAAACCATTTTCACACATTTTCAACTAATTGGTTTCATCTGTTGCTCTTAACAATTCGGCGTATAATCCTCTATACGCAGTGATTATCCAGTTAATATGTCATGTTTGGGATGATGCTGTTTTATGTCTTATGACTCATTTATGTTTTGATTTTTCAGGCATTACTATTGACGGATTCAAACAAAGTAAAGTCAAAGTGCCGACTGGATATTTTGAAAATAGCCAAGAGAATGCTTACTAGTTTTTCTGATCAAGATTTCGATAAGTTTTCACCTTCCATATTGAATGATATTCTCAATGCTAATAATATGCAAATGGAAAAACCACCTTCAGATGAAGCCATCAATCTTAGCAGGAGGAGCTCAAAGAGGAAAAGCTACAAAGAAGAGATATTAGAAAACAATCCTACTGAAATACTTGGTAATCGTAAACAGAGCAGTATTAAAGAGGCAAATATTGAAGATGTTAGTGAAAAACATGAAAACATAAATGAAACAAAATCTGAAATATTGCCGGAATCAGTAGCGAATAAAATCATTAAATATATGTTAAAGAAGGCCGATGAGCAAAAGCTAACAATGCAGCAATACATTCAATTGCTAAAACAAATCCAGGTTCCAAATAATCAGACTTCTTTAGATAATGACCTTGTAAAGATCTTAATAAAGCTTACTAAATCAGGTATGATTTAATTTAAATTCGAAGAAAAAATTGAGTTTGGAAGTTTGCTGATCATCACATTATGCTTTTATATTGTCACTTTTTCTCTTCAACTGTTGGATAAAGACAATTCTGTTCGATGCTTTCCCACTTTGGTGTGATTTATTGCAAAATGGAACATTAGACTAAATGTCATAACTGGTTTATGGTATGGTTTAAATAACGCTTATTGAGAACTATTTATAACTACAGCTTAAGTCATAGCCTTCCAATCTGTCTATGCGTTTATTCGCGCTTCGGTGTTTCAGAATAAATGTTGCATAAAATGTAGTATCTGAATTAATAGGTGACCAATACGATGAGCTGATGATCTCTCGCCGTCTTCAAATTAGTTGAAAAGTTAAGAACATATTCGCTAAATTTTTAGGTTATTTATGGTGAAAGCTTGATATGGTGAATTCTCTACAATCATCTATCTCTTTCCGATATTATCGACGAACTAGTCTAATTAAAAAATTTTCTTAAACATCTACCATAAAATTCTGTTGTTTTCCAGGTCAACCACGTAATGAAGAAGATGCTCACGAGATAATAACTCATATTAGTTTAAACAATTGCACAGCTGATACTTTAAATGATGCATTGGAATTGGATTTGTTCCCTCCTAAGACTGTTGCTGCTGCAGCACTGTATGTTGCTAACAAGAAGCAGGTATATAGAATTTTGCCCTGTTTGGTATTAATTAGCTTTATAATTTACTGCTTTCAACGATTTATAGATTTTCATTTCCTTTGGCTTTATCATTTTTGTGTTTGAAGCCTATCAGTTCCGGTGCAGTTGATGAATACAATAAATGTATCATGCAAATGAATCGATAGTATTGTAAAGAAGTGGAGAAAAATCGATAGTCAAACAAGTGAATGAATGAGAAAGAATATTATAGAGTAGGATAGTTTAGTTAAAGATACAACAAGGAAAAACTTATTTCTCTTTTGTATGAAGAATGTTGAAGAATACTACGCCAGAGTTGCCAATGGCTTCTGCTCTTAGTCATTCCATATAACGTTTGAAGCCACTGAGTTGTGTGATCATGAGGATCCTCATTTGGGTGTCGTTTACCGGTAGGTGGTAATTCTATGTATCTGGCTTTCATAACATGAGATTAGGTTATAAACTGACCCAATCTCTTCCATTTCTACCCACTTCCAGCGCTGGCAAATAATGCACGATGTGAAAGTCTTTGGAATGATATCCATGAAGCATGTCAAAATCACCGGTGTCGATTTTCTGAGATGCTGGTCATGAGCTCTCACTTTGCCTGTGTTTTCTACATGTCTCTTACTTTAATTTAGCCTTATAAGCTTAACCATTATTAATTTGGACTCAAATGATCAGTGTCTTTTTCCTTCTGGTACTTGAGGTTTCCGTATATGCACACCTGTAGTAAGCTTTTCAAATCGATGTTGGGAAATGAATTTGTGATTTTTCATTAGAGTACTGGGTATGTGTCTCCGAAATATGGCTTATGCTGATACTATGATTTTTAAAAGACAACAAGACTTGTTTGTTGTCTTATATACATAACTAAGCGTGAGCGGTAAAGAAGGCAAATGTAACTGGCATAAGTAGCTTCAGAAAATCTGTACGGTGGGAGCAAGGAGAACATTTTTACATTACATCATATTTAAATATCGGTTAGTGAGATTGTTATACCTTGTGGCCAAGTGGATGCCCAGTTAATGTATGACGTGATAAGACCGCCAATCAGAGAGCAGCGAATTATCGATTAGAACAGTGACACGAAAACCGTACGAGCAGTCTAGAGCGCTTATCGATCCTGCCTCTGTTTAACCCAGCCAGTTAAGTCCAAAACACCAATAACAGCCTCTGTGGTATGAATCATTATTCATAAACATACTGGGTTTATATACCAACCAAACAGCACACATCGTGCCATAAAATTGAAAATAACATTTGTACAAGGTTTGGCCAAATGTGGCTGTGAATAGGGGGGACAGTTATCAATAGACTGGGGATAACTCATATAAATTGTACGGTAGTTGGATTTAGACAGAGATTATGTCAGTATTATTATTTGATTGCTTTAGAGGTCGATTGCTAACTTCATGAGGATAGCATATAACAAATCTAAATGTTATAAATCATTGAGAATAGCTGTTGATGAACTTGTTAAAGGGCACGTTTGTTATATCAAACTACTTCTGAGCAAGCAAAGATTGATAGTGGCTAGCAGTGGAATCCAGGACGCGCGTCACTTCGCCCTATTTGGTACTCGTCAGCTGGATGTACCTGCATCTCAGTCTTGTTGATATTCACTCTAGTAACTCAAACACAGTACCTTTCGCTTCAAACGCTATCGCGTTATCCACTCGGCCACTGAGTCCTGATAGCCAATTCCTTGTGAGTAAGATATTTTTACAAATTCAAGTAGGGTGTAGGTTAGAAGTTAATGGGAGAAGTTCCAACTCTGATGCTATATGACTTCAACAATATATTAAGCTGTTTCATAGCATAAAATGATACTACTTTTTCCATTATAAGTTATTGTACATATATATTGGTTTCATGTTTCTTCATAAACTCATATTAACCTTTACTTTTGATAGGAAAATCCAATCTCCACTTCAAGTAATCTTGAATATCCCTACACATGGTTACCTACTTATTATACGAAACCATTAATGTTGCCGATGCGTGGTAGACCTCGATGCACTGATCATCTTTATAGTAATTCACATTATTCAAGATCATTTTATCCTTCTTATGATAAATCACGTAGTTCTTCATTAAATAGGAATCTAGAACCAGAGTATAAATATAATGGCTTCCATCCCTATTTATTATCCTATTCTTCTTTTCAACCGTATTCAAATGAATTCAAATATAACAGTAATGCCAGTAATATGAAATTTTCAGGTAGGTATTGGTATTTTCTTTACTGAAAAGGTTAAGTTATATTTTACATTGTATGTATATTATCAGAAGGGGTTTTGTGGAGATTTTAGTAATTTTATAGAGTTGAGATCATGAGTCCATTGAAGCTAGACCACCATGGAAAGGCTAGAAACACTGGACAGACGTTTCATCATATTGTGGGACTCCTCAACAGTGCGCATCTACGGTCCCGCCTCGCGAGATCGGAACCCAGGACCTACCAGTCTCGCGCCAGAGCACTTAACCGATAGACCACTGAGCCGGCATCCGATGGTGTTAATGTCTAACTTCAACCAATCCACGAAGTTGAGCAACCGTTTACCAATTGTGAGTTGTTATCTTACAACAGACCTGGTTGAACTCCACTGGTCACTGTTTCTCACTAGAACTCCAGGAAATATCTAGTGAAGTCAGTCACTAGTAAGCATATGATTACTATCAGAAGGGGTTTTGTGGAGATTTCAGTATTTTTCATAGTTGAAATCTCCACAAAACCCCTTCTGATGTACAGATAAATGGATAGGTTAATGAAGAAATGATAAATATGTACTTCCATCATAGAAACTTGAATAGTATTACACTAATTAGTCCGAGCCATGTTGGCAGATGCAGACTACTTGGTTGGGGTCCGCGTAACTAACGTAACCAATGGTTGGAGACTCTAGGTGATATGGCTCAGAATCGATCACAATGGTGTAGGCGTATACACTCTTTATCTCCCCTTAAACTTGAGATTAAAATTGCTTCATATCTGTCTTTCTTCCTGTACTATACCCTTATATACAATCTTTCTTTCATATATTACCACCACTAAATTAACTACTTCTATGAATTCGGTGTTGATCTTGTTATGCTGATGAGGTATGACAACTTGAACCGATGATGCATAAACATGCCTGGTCCTACGTTGTAGCTGATTGACTGACTGAATTAGTCCAAAATTGTATTCCACCTTAAATGTTTATGTTCTTATTCTTTATCAAGTTTTTCAGTCAGTCGGTAAACACTTCCTATAATTTAGAAATAGTTCAGTTTAAAAATGATTTCCATCGTAGACTGGAATTGAACAAAAGAACATAGTGAAGTACGAACTACTGGACAGGTATTTTATCATTGTTTTAAATTCCATAGATGTTTATTCGTGATCTTCAGCTATTCTCCATTTCACTTCAATCCATATTGAAGGCTATCTTCGCAATAAAAATCTTAGTTATTGATATTTAATAAAGATAGAGCATTGTTAATTCAACTAAAGGTTACGATTTATAAAAAATATCAATCCATCACAATCTCAATTTAGTGCATCTGTATTATGATCCGGTAATGTTTATGTCATGACATTAAACAATAAAAATCCTGCTAAGCAATAAAAACTGCAAATAAAAAGTATCTAATAATTACCTTACAACTGATTGATCACTAGGTGGTGATCAATGTCATGCGTGTCAAGTCTTTCTTAGTGGTAATCGAATACTATCGATCAAATTGCACTGTAGCCACTAGTCTAGATGGCTCGACACTGCGTGCACTATGTTAAGATAAAATGATTGTTGGAGATAGTTAACAGGAAACTCTGTACTCGGGTTTCTTGCTACTTGGCACTCGTCAACAAGGTGTACCTATAATCTTGAGTTGAACTGGTGCTTCTTAACGGATTCAATCCCATGTCACCCAGCTTCACAGTCAGAGACGTTAACACTGAGCTATTCGCGTCTACTGTATGTTAACTTATTTATATTTGACTACTTTTATATCTATATTTTAATGACTACTTTTTTTTCTTTTCCTCATTTTATATTAGATCCATTTAATAATAATTATCTATCAAAACCCATGGCTAAAAATAGAGGATTCTAAGAATATTCTACATAATTCATCTAATCTTTTAAATGATCGATTCAATTCAATCCAATAAAATGTAATCAATCAGATTAAACGTTTTTTTTTCTAGTTTTCTCTTTTTTTTTTCTTCTTTTCCTTCTCCCTAATCACTATGCATATCATTTTATTTTGTATATATAAACAAAAAGAAGTTTTAATTATGTTTAAATGAATCAAATTATTACATTGGGTTTTTTTTATTAGTTTGCATTATCAAGTATCTTTATAATTTTTTTTACTCTCTTTTATTTATTTCATCAAAAAAATTCCATAAAAGAATACTAGATTATTTATTTATCTATTGCCACAGAAACAATCCTATAAATTACATTTTTGTCCGCTTCCCCTACCCCCACCCCATTCAAATTTATCTTTTGTTAGTTGATTTTAACAAAGGGACATTTTTGTTCTCCCTCCTTCCCCTACCCCCACCCCATTCAAATTTATCTTTTGTTAGTTGATTTTAACAAAGGGACATTTTTGTTCTCCCTCCTTCCCCTACCCCCACCCCCTTCAAATTTATCTTTTGTTAGTTGATTTTAACAAAGGGACATTTTTGTTCTCCCTCCTTCCCCTACCCCCACCCCCTTCAAATTTATCTTTTGTTAGTTGATTTTAACAAAGGGACATTTTTGTTCTCCCTCCTTCCCCTACCCCCACCCCCTTCAAATTTATCTTTTATTAGTTGATTTAAACAAAGGACAAAAAACGGTTATTATTATTATTCTTTTTTTTTTCTTTTTTTTTTTAAATAAATAAACGAAAGTCAAGTAAAATAATTGGACTGAATCCATCCATCTATCTATTTATATATTTTCTTATTCATAGTAATTTATAATACAATTTTTTTTTAATGTAATGGTCAATAATAATAATTGTGTGTATTTATTTAAATAAATTACATTAATAATAATAGTAATAATCATCTTTGTATTCTACTTCTAATGGATTTAAGGATTCGAACTATGAACCATTCATTAATAGATAGAAAGACATTTGACAATGATAATAGTAATATTAATAATAAAAATATTATTAAAATCATATTCAATTTGGTATACGTTTTTCTTTTAAAAAAAGACAAAGAACCTATTAAACAAAAGATTCGTAAGTGATTTAAGATCAACAACAACAACAACAACAAAAAAGAAGTAGATGAGCAAATGGAATGTTTCATTTTGGTTGTTGGCAACTGGAACCGATGCATATCTATGTGCCTGGTCCTACGTTGCAGCTGACTGACTTGGTTGGTTGATTTGAAAAAAAAAACAAAACAACAACACACATTTACATTTGATTTTATTATTGAGCATAGATACACTTTCTACAATACAAACAAAGCCAATATTAACTTTGTTTTAGAAAACAAAAAAAATTAATTGGAAAGAATTAGGAATGAATACATATGTGTTTGTAGAAAAGTGTAGGAAAGATAGAGATGTTGAGTGCCTTTTTCTTTTCCATTTTATCTTCGTATGTTTGTTTGATATAACAATCCAAATGATGAATACAAGTGTCTAAAAAAAAAAAACAAAAGAAGAGAAAGTAGAAATTAGACAATATACATGTCAATAGGTTAATTTATTATTATTATTATTCGTATTTTTAAGTAGTATTAGTGTGATGTGTGGTACTTATATCGATATAAGTAGTATATAATACTAGTCAAGAATAGAATATCTGGCAACAGAATATCGAGAACAGATAGTGATTGTTATAAAAATGAAGGAACAATCAAGTTTGAAACAATTGATTGACATGTTTTACATATAAACAATTCACTGTATGATTTACAGATTTCATGAAAATATTCTGTGATTTTGTATTAAAATACATTCGATTATTTCCAATTGTGTTCTTGCATTCATTACATTAATAGTAATATTATACTCCGATAACAATAGTGAATGATAACTTTAGGATCCATTCATGGACAAATATTATGCATATAATTTTTATCGTATATTTGCTAAATAATTAAACTACTCATATTCATATTCCTTTCATTGTGAGCTTTATTTTGACCCTTGAACTATTATTGTACGATTTATCATTCATGTGTTATACCCAGTCTATTGATTACTGTTCCCCTTATTCACAGCCACATTTGGCTAAATCTTGTACAAATATTATTTTCAATTTTATTGGTACGATGTGGTCAGTCTGTTTGGTATATAAACTAATTATGTTGAAAATCCAAAGATTCATACTACAGAGGCTGTTTTTGATGTTCTGGACTTAACTGGCTGGGCTAAGCAGAAAGCAGGACCGATACGTACTCTAGAGACTGCTCGTACGGTCTTCGTGTGTCACCGTTCCAAATCGATAATTCTCTGATTGGCGATCTTATCACGTCATACATTAACTGGGCATCCACTTGGCCACAAGATATAACAAGTAATTATAACAAAAATAGATGAAACAGTACAGAGGTGGATGGAACTTTGAGTTTAATAGATGGATAATTAACTTGTTCTTAAATAAGAAAAAAATTTATTAATGATTTACATTATACTAATATATTCAATCAATCAGAAGTCATACCATATTGGCATAATGTATTGTAGCTTACATTTAATTCGGAAAACATTAATGAGATTGAAGGATAAAATGACATTAGGCTTAATATTCACATAAAAATGAGGATTTGGTTCTTCATTACTTATGAGTCTTTAATAATAGATCAGAGGGGGTTTTGTGGAGAATTTAGTATTTTCACAGTTGAAATTATGAGTCAATTGAAGCTAGACCACCATGGAAAACCTGGAAGCACTGGACGGCTGTTTCATCCTATTATGGGACTCCTTAGCAGTACGCATCCACGATCCCGCACTCGCGCTCGCACTTTAATAATAGATCATAATCACTGAGGTAGTCTCATATAGGAGATCTAAATGAGTGTGAGACTGACGTTTCATAAATTCATGTACTAATAGTATGTTTTGGTTGGTTGCTTCTTTATCTCACCAACTTCTATCACAGTTAAAATGACGAGTTGGTGTAGAGATGGTGGCTCCGACTATGTAGCACATCACAAATACGTTCGTCGACATCATCCTACCTAGCACCATATTTTGAAGATCATTTCTTCTCCCTTCTACCGTGTACGAACAATGCTTTAAAAGCATTTGCAACTTATTAAGTTTTTTAATTTTATAAACCACGTTTTCAATCCATAAACTAATGTACAAAGGATTGATAAGCAGTACACCCACATTGATATTTGATCTGTACCACAGGTGAGATAACTCAGACGAAGACTTAGTATCCTTCTAACCAAGTCTGATCAGGATAGTAACATAAGTGAATATTCAACGTGCTTGGTTTCCTCTTTATGGTCGAACAGGATATCGAGATAGACCAGTCCTAAATCGACTTTTGGGATTCAAATGAAGTATAATACATCATAAGCATTCTTTCATGGTTATACAAGATGTTAAGAAGATTTTGGATTTCCTCAGCGTTTTTATGAAACAGAATTATGTCATCCTGATAGTTGATATACATCTCACAATGATTCTCCATATATTAAAAGACATTGTTTAAGGTTGGAATTACTTTTGACTAATACTCTGTTCTTTTAACCATTTACACAATCTACTTTACGTGTAACTGATGGTTAAAATGAAATTGGTGATGTACAACTTGGGGTATAGCAAGTGATTAAAATAGAATCGTAGTGTTTATATTCTAATTTCTTAAGAATTTTATGAAATATATGAAGATTCTAACAGATACCTTATTAGGTATCAAGATGGGAGGATGGGCCTAATCATTAATAAAGGTTATTAGTTCTTTCGAGTAAACATCAGAAACTCAAACTCAATGTACAACTGTGAAATGTAATTGGATTATCTTTACATATGATATGCTTCATGCTATTACGAGTTCACCTTACTCGGTAAACGGAACGAAAGTCTAAGACACAGTGACACAATAGGCTATTCTAGTCGATTGTCTCCGGCCCTTCAAACTATATCAAGAAGTCTTGATGAGGCATAGAGAATGTATTCCACAAGCACCCAGAAAGTACGAGGTTACTAAGTACACAAATGAAGCTTAGAAACACCTTTTGGCGAGCCAACAAATAGCATACTAAAAAAATTCCATCAACAAATGACAGTCAGGGATTTCGAGTGGAAGATGTAAGTTGTAGGTCAACTAAGCTTCTCTTGGCGCAAAAACATCAAATTCAAATTTTCAGAATAACATTACAAAATTAGAACCTTTTCCAAGTGAGTTCTCTGAGTCCTCAACAACATAGTCTTAAATATGGTAAGCAAAGATGGATAGTGGCTAGCACTGGAATCCAGGACGCGCGTCACTTCGTCCTATTTGGGACTCGTCAGATGGATGTACCTGCATCTCAGAGTTGATGTTCACTCTGGTACTCGAACCCAGTACTTTCCTCTTCAAACGCCATCGCGTTATCTACTCGTCCACTGAGTCCTGATATCCACTTGCTTGTGCGATGAGGGGTGCCAATTAGAGACTGACCAGTTGCAGTCCTAACACATCGATGGGAAGATTCAAAAAAAAGAACACTAAATGAATTTATAGTCTTCAATATATTGGTTGTTTTGCAGAAGAACACTACCCTGCAAAGGTGGTTCGCTACGGAGGTAATTTTTCGACGACGTTGATCATACGCAGTTAAGCGAACATTCGTGCAAATCAGCAAAAATCATTCACTCTTCCTCCACTGACATTAATGAATTGTTTTAATTAAATATGCAAAATAAATTATCAATTATCAAGTAAACGATTTACTACAAAACATGCGTATTACACAATGGTGGTTTAACTTAGATAAGTTAATGATTTTAATGAAATTTAACAGTTTCCAGAACTCCATACTAACAATTATTACGTGCCCGTTAGTGACTAGCTTCAAGATGAAACTCATGGATTTCTAATGAGAAGCCATGACCAGTAGAGTTCAACGTTGTTGGATATAAAATAGTTATGGATGAGTGTTCCTCCATATCGTGGAATGATTGAAGTTAAAAATTAACACTGTTGGATCCCGGCTTAGTGGTATAGAGGTTAAGCGTATGCCCCTAAATGCCCTGGTACGGCCGAGAATGGGGAGAAACCGCTCTCCCACTCCAAATGCTCTCACATGGCCACGCGTAAATATCCTTTACCAGAGAAGTCCTATTCACTACCTCCTCGTGGCGGGGGTGTTGTTTACGAAATTGAGAGGACGAAAAGCGAATGTCTGTCGCTTTAACCGGGTTGGTGGACTCGGCAAGTCCACCTGAGGAAGTTGGAAAACCCTGATTCCAAATCATGCTGCACATCGGCTCCAGTATCCCAATGGAACAAATGGCGTATGAATCGATCGTTGGTGACCGGCTACCATGAGATTGCTTCACTGCCTTGTGGATCAGACCTTTAGACCGAAGGTTCCGGGTGTGGCCCCCTAGGAAAACCACCTGGTTCAGTCTGGGCACCTGGGCAGTATCACAGCCCTTACACAAATCAAATGAGATTTGTGTGGCGCATCCATGTTCGGTCCCCTTTTGTACCAATATTTATGTGTTTAAATAAAAATAAAAAGTTAAGCGTATGCATGAAACCAAAAGTTCTTAGTTCAATTTTCGGGTGAGAGGCAGGGGTTGTAGATGATTACTGTTCAGTATTCCTGTGCTAGGCAGGAACGGCTGTTTAGTGCTTGCAGGCGTTTAAAGATGATCTTATTATTTGTTTATTCAAACACATAAATATTGGTACAAGTAGGCACTAGGTATGTATGCGCCACACAAATCTCATTTGATTTGTGTTAGGACTATGATACTGCCCACGTGCCCAAACCGACACAGGTGGTTTTCTTAGGGAGCCACAACTGGAGCCTTTGACCTAAAGGTCTAACCCACAAGGCAGTGGAGCATCGTAAGGAGATGCAGTCCCATGGTAGCCGGTGACCAACAATTGATTCATCCGCCATTTGTTTCCTCAGGATACTGGAACCCATGTGAACCATTAATTTAGAATCAGAGTTTTCCACCCCCCTAGGTGAACTTTCCGTGTCCATCAACCCGGTTAAAGCATCGGATATTCGCTTTTCGTTCTCTCAATTTCATATACAACACCCATGGTGTGAGAAGGTAGTAAGTAAGACTTCCCTGGTAGAGGCTATATACGCGTGGCCATGTGAGAGCATTTGGAGAGGGAGAGCGGACTCTCCCCACCAGGGTATTTGGGGGGGGATTATTTCATTGATCGATTCATAGTGTCAATAATATTACACATATCTCAATACAAATGTAAATAGCACATAACAAAGGACTATTTTTAACAAAGAAAAAATGTACATATATATAAATGAATTACCATTTGACCAATGAATGTTTAATAAAACTTCATTTCTATTCTAATTATATGATCCTAATAATTGAATTTAGATAAATCTTCATTAATATTTAATAAAATTGGTTTAGGTGCTGGTGGAGGTGGTGGTGATGATGATGATGGTGCTAAATGTTGTAATGGAAGATCAAGATGTGTCCAATCATCTTCAATCGATTTATAATTCATAATTAAATCAGATTCATTTAAATCATTAATAACAAGCTAAAAAAATAAATAAACAAATGAAAATGAACATGATATATCCGAATAAAATGTAAGTTCTAATGAGGATGCACTAATATAAGGTAAGATTGTTAGTAGTATGTGAAATGGTAACAGGTGTAAGTAAGTAAGTAATTCGTGGATCGGTTGAATTTAGACATTGACACCGTTGGATATCGGCCGGCTCAGTGGTCTATCGGTTAAGGGCTCTGGCTCGAGACTGGTAGGTCCTGGGTTCGAATCTTGCGGGATCGTGGATGCGCACTGCTGAGGAGTCCCACAATAGGACGAAACGAATGTCCAGTGTTTCCAGGTTTTTGATGGTGGTCTAGCTTCAATTGACTCATGATCTCAACTTTGAAAAATACTGAAATCTCCACAAATCCCCTTCTGATCTAAGTAAGTAAAGAAAGTGAGTCTTTGAGCTTATTGGTTTTACTAGACACATCCCAGCTGAAGGCTATCGGCTAAGCATCCGTATAAGACCATCATTGGGTACAACGGACTACGCATTCGTTGAAACAACTAGTCAGCTTAGATCACATAGTTCTCAACATATTGATTATCTTCCAAAGATAGATCTTCGTACTTTTTCATTTTTGACTCCTAGTTTGATTGTGTTCATAATTCTTTGATTATAAAGTTGTTATGGTAAACAACGTTGTCAACCCTGAATATTCGTGACATCTCTATCTGTATTTTATAGACAATTTAAACTTCTGCTAAAGCATGCTATATGGATAAGACTGTGTTCAATTTATCAGAGACATTATTTTATAGCGACAAATATTGTTATTATTTTAAGATTAGGTACTGACTGATGAACTCCATCCAGTTCAAGTCAACTTCGTTAAAGTTCCTTATGGTTGACATTGAATAAAACTGACATTGTGAAGATTGCATTAACCGAAAATGGAAAATAGTCAAACACTATCAGTTTTAAGTTGTCAGTGAAGCAACATCAACATGGATTGATCACTGAGTGGCGGCCAGTTACAGATTTTAAATATAGGGGGATTTGTAGAGATAGTAGAACGTCCTGGGCTTAATTCCTGCATTCTAGATCGTAGATGACCAGTGCTGAGGAGTCGCATACTAGGACAAAAAGTCTGTTCATTTTTTCTTGTTTTCCAATGGTAGTTTAATTATGAACAGCTCATAATTTCAACTGTGAAATTTTATGTTTGTCTGGTGTTAGTGCTGATCACATTCAGTTGACCAAATTTTCATTAGTCTAGATGACTCAACATGCTATACACCATGGTTGATGTTACAGGATTTTATACAGTCGACAAAAGGTCTGTTACCTAGGTTTTTTGCTAGCCGCTACTCTACAGTAAGTTGTACGTAGAGTTAAGAGACAAATGCCTGAAAAGTCATCAAAGGCTTATTTGGCCCTGGATTGATCACTGAGTAGCAAAAACCCATGTTATGATTATCTAGTACTCAAGTCTAATGGAGTTCTATTGAACATGAGGCCCAAATACCTCGATGGTAATGCTTCATACCGTTAATCTGAATGAGGCTTGCTCGGATCCCAGGGACGTCATCAGACTCCTATTGATTCCATGTAGGTCTAGCAGTTACTACTGATAACCTCTGACAAGCTAATTTGATAAATCATCGTAAGTTTTATATTTGTTCCAGACAGAGTGATAAGAATTCATGAGTCCAGTGAAGCTAGACCACAATGGAAAACTTGGAAGCACTTAACGGCCGTTTCAGCTTAGTATAGGACTCCTCAGCAGTGCGCATCAACTATCCCACTTGCACGATTCGAAAGATATTACTTGGAGTTCTAGTGAGAAACCACGATCAGGTCTGTTGTGAAATAGTAAATCACTGAGGAAAATGGTGGATAGTGGCTCAATTTCGTGAATTGGTTGAATTTAAACAATAACATCGTTGGATGCCAGCTTAGTGGTCTACTGGTTAAGTGTTTGCGTAAAACTGAGGATCCTGATTGTCAGTCTTGCATGCAGGTCGTAGATATACATTGTTGAGGAGTCTCATACTAGGATGAAACGGTCGTCCAATGCTTTCATGGTGGTCTAGCTTCAATTGACTCATGATCTCAACTACTGAAATTTAATTTTTATCCTGGAAAAGATGAATAATACAGATTGCTGGAAAAAAAAAACATGAACTTAGAATGAAAATTATTTTCAATGTTCTCAATTTTATAACCATAATAGCGGATATTTAATATGGATGAAAGTTATTAAGACTATCAATTAGGTATAAGTGAAGTGAAGACACAAACCTGATTTAACCAGTTTTGTCGTGGAGTTGTAGGTTGTTTTAAATAAATTTGAGATAATTCTCTATTAATTCCAGTAGCTTCCATATCATGCCTTGGGGACCACATAATGGGTTCAGTAAATGATGAACAATATACAGGAGGATTAGGTGCAGGCCCATGTGGATCAATTGATGGTGGTTGATATGGAATGACAGAAATATCCTCATTGATTTGAGACTTTTCATTCGTTTGTGGTGTACGCATAAGACCGGATTTTGTAGTATTCATCTGAAAGGCATAATGGATTGAAAAAAATATATATGTTTCTGTTATATCAAGTGAGTGGGTGTCCTGTTTGATATATGAACGTGAAGATCGCCGCCAATGATAGAAGAGTGAATTATCGACCACAGTAATGATACACAAAAAGCCGTATGAACAGCTTTGCTTTCTACCTAGCCCAGCCAGTTAAGTCCAAAACGCCAGACTCAGCCTCTGCAATATGAATCATTATTCACAAACATACTGGATTTATATACCTAACAAACTGACCAGATCGTACCAATAAAATAGAAAATAACATTTTTACAAGATTTGGCCAAATGTGACTGTGAATGTGGGAACAGTAATGAATAGACTAGGGATAACTCAAGAATGGTAAATCGTATAATAATAGTCTATAGGTCAAAATAAAGCTCATAATAAAAGGGACATGGATATGAATAGTTAAGTTACTTAGTTATTATACAACAAGAAATATACATATCACATTGGTCTATAAACAATCTTCAGTAGTTACCATTCATAATTCTCTTCGGGATATAACAGTTTCCTTAACTTCAGGCTTTACGGGAAACAGATATAAGTCCTGGTCATGTATTATTATTTAAACAAATTCTTTACATTCAAATATATAATTGGAGACATTCGTTTGTAGTTAATTAACGAATGAATCAAGCACTTATTTATCGATATTAACGCTTGTTAAGAAGTTTGCTTATTCTCTGTAGATACCTAATTAGTTAATGTGAATAATTCAGAAGGGGTTTTATGGAGATTTCAGTATTTTCATAGTTGAAATCATGAGTCAATTGAAGCTAGATCAACATGGAAAACCTGAAATCACTGGATGGCCGTTTTGTCCTATTATGAGACTCCTCAGCATAATAATAATTGTGAAAATAATATTTTAATAAAACAAAAGGAATTACACTGATATTGAAACTGCTGAAAGTGCAGTACATCCTAAAATGACCATTGAATAAATGTATTCATACTTTTTATTCGCAATACCTCGGCCGACAATTTATTTTAGTCTAATTTCTGGATTCTCTAGTATTTGTTTCTAGAAGAATCTTACTACCTTTTTATAAGTTTTATAAGTACATTTCACACAATAACAAGAGATAGGTAGTAGCTAGCAGTATAATCCAAAACCTGTGTTTCGTCTCATTCACGAATTGTCAAATGAATGTACCGGCATCTGAGAGTCGTTATTCACAGACTGATTAATTAACAAATACAAATGCATTGAATTTCACACTATTAAGAAGTATATAAACCACAAAATAAATTTCTTGAATTCATGCATAACTTAATTGAAATCTGTTTAAATGTTCAAACCAATTGTCAGATATAGTGGAACACTGTAAAAGATCATCTACGTTTAAAATCCCACTATCATTTAACATCCCAATAGAACGAAGATCATTATTAATTTATTTAGCCATTTTTTTGTTATATAATGGTAATAATAACCAAAGATGGATAGTGGCTAGCTGTAGAATTCAGGACGCCAAGTGGATAATGCGATGACATTTGAAGCGAATGGTACTGAGTTCGAGTCCCGGAGTGAACATCAACTTTGAGATGCAGGTACATTCAGCTGACGAGTCCCAAATAGGACGAAACGCGTGTCCTGGATTCCACTGCTAATCACTATCCATCTTTGCTTACAATGCTTGTGAATTAAGGGTATATCGAGGCAATACGCACAGTATGCACATATGCCAATAAGAGACTGTCCAGTTACAGTCCTAAGCATCAATGGGTAGATTCAAGTAAACAATACCAAGTGAATATGATTATAATCTTTAGAATATCCCATTACTTTTTCTAGTATAACATGGAATTCATTACATTACAGTATTATAATCAGTAGTTTTACAGATTCCTCATAACAACATTGAACTATGATTCATTTACAAAACCGATTTGATAATATGGAACCAATTATGAATTTAATCATAATGATTAGTTAATGAAACAAATAATTTTATAATTATACTTTATTTTTAAAGTACTTGATTCAAGTCTTATGATATTTGGTATTTCTCTAGGTAAACTTATGGAAGTACAATTTCGAATAAAAGTACAATTTAATGTTCTTATTACAAAAAAAAAGTATTACAAATTGATGATTTCATAGTTGAAAGCATGAGTCGATTGAATTTAGATCATCAAGGAAAACCTGGAAGTACTAGACGGCTGTTTCATCCGATTATGGGACTCCTCAGCAGTGCACATCCACGATCTTGCCTCATGAGATTCGAACACAGGACCTATCAGTCTATTTATGCAAACTCTTTACTGTGTTTAATCGATGAAATCTCTTTGAAATGATGAAATTGTTGAGCAATCATTTTATTAAATTGATAATATATTTCATGAAAGTTAACTTAAGAGAATGAGGAATGATGCCATACAGGAAATCAATATGATACAAAAAGGCTTTTCCAGTTATAAAGAAAGGACAGTGGCTGAAGCGTTCCATATAATGCTTAATCCTACTTGGACTATCTATCCTAGTCACCTAGTCTGATACTAGTATTTACAATTCACACCATTACATTACAAATTAAACTCTATCATTTGTTATTATAAGTGAAAATTGTATTTGAAATAATCTCAGCAATTGAAATTGAAATAATTCCAACGTTTCGTCCAGCTAACTTGTTTGGACTTCTTCAGGGTATTAATCGAAATCAAAATCATCCTTTGTCATTTTAAAGGTCACACATTTTTCATCATTAACAGTGCACACATACACACACACATTTTTTATACTTGTCGCTTATGAATCACCTTGACCTAAATGACAAAGACACACTGCTGAAGAGTTCCATACTAGGATGAAACGGTCGTTTATTGCTTCCAGGTTTTGAATGGTGGTCTAGCTTACATCGACTCATGAATTCAACTATTAAAATCCCTACAATCTCCACAAACCTTCATACTAATAGTTCAAAATTTGTTGTCAATGTATTATAAATTATAATGCAAAAATAGATCAAACAAAATTTGATAATTGATATATTTTAAATTACCTTCAAGACATCTGATAATAGAGAATCCCTTCCTTTTATTCCCGTAGACGTGGATATTTGACAAAGGTCAGAAGTATCTCTAGCATCTGTTTTATTAACCTCTGAAGGTATTTGAGGTAGTTGACGTTTGTAATTTTTAAGACCTCGAGTAGAGTGAGAATTTCCATTTACTGGCTGGACATCTGGTAAACAAGCGGTCCACATTGTCTTGATAAAAGAAAGGTGTTATCAAAACATGTAATCATAAAGTACAATTTATGATGCATTACATGTAAATATTATAACATATCCTCAAAACGGGTTGGGTAATAACAGTCTGATTGTTATAAACTAATTTAGTATTGTTTGTTTGAATATTCCCTTCGATATGTTAGGACTGCAACTAGTCAGTCTCTAATTGGCATATGTGCATACTGTGTGTATTGCCTCAATATAGCTTTAATTCACAAGCATTGTAAGCAAAGATGGATGTAGGTACATCCGGCTGACGAGTCCAAAATAGGACGAAGTGTCGCGCGTCCTGGATTCCACTGCTAGAAACTATCCATCTTTGATTACAATTTGATTGTTATAGTTTATTATAAACTACTGTTTATGAACTCAATTAATCCCATTTAAGGTTTGAAAATTCAACTGAGAGACAGGAAATAATGGGTAATAAGTAATTAGGATTTAGGAATTATTGGTTAGTCGAATATTCTATCAAACATACAGGAAGCTGTGATTCATACATTCTAAGTTGGAAAGAAAGTAGACAATTAGGATTCAGTTCAACAAAACTAGTTGTTTAAAGATATTTAAAGAGAAGGGTAGAACAATATAGTGTTCTTATCAGAACGGGTTTTGTGAAGATTTAGTATTTTCATAGTTGCAAGCGTGAGTCAATTGAAGCTAGACAACCATGGGAAACCTAGAAGCACTGGACGGCCGTTTCGTCCTGTTGTGGGAATCCTCAACAGTGCGCATCCAGGATCCCGCCTCGCGAGATTCGAATCCGGAACCTATAAGTCTCTCACGCGAGCACTTAACCACCATACCACTAAGCCGTACGGCATCCAACTGTGTTAATGTTTAAATTTAATCAATCCACGAAATTGAGCAACCATTCACCAATTGTGTTCAGTGAGTTGATATCTTACAATAGACCTGGTTGAACTATATAAAATTACTAAAATCTCCACAAACCCCCCTTCTAAAAATAAATCTTTGTTAATTGTGAGTAGTATGTTATTTGGTTACTAAAATGTCACAAGATCAAATCATTTAAAATGTACTTTTATTAGACTTTAAAATAACTAAATAAAGTAGAAATAGTCAAACCAATCAGTTATAATGATAGAAACTAAAGGTGTACCAGTAACTGAAATTTAATTTACTGAAGGAAATCAAGTTATATATTATAAACCACACCGTATATTTATTATGAGAAGGGGGATTTTGTAGAGATTTTAGTAATTTAATAGTTGAATTCATAAGTCAATTAAAGCTAGATCATCACGGAAAACCAGACGGCCGTTTCGCCCTAGTATGGGACTCTTGAGCAGTGCGTATCCACGATTCTGCTCGCCGGATTTAAATCCAAGACCTATCGATCTAGCGCGTGAACGTTTAACTTCTAGACCATTGAGCCGGTATCAAACGGTGTCAATGTGTAACTTCCATAAAAATTTGATAATTTAGTTCCAGCATCAGAAATCTAAATAATTTGTTTGCCATCAGTTTTCTTCTTTTTGATGTCAAAATTTCAAACATAATGGAAGATGAATAGCCAAACTTTTAATGAATTACGAGATGATTGATATTTGATATTGTTTGAAAGAGAGTTAACAAAACTAAACCCCTATCAAAATCCATATCTTTCTTCTTACTTTCATTCATCGTAATAGAAACGTTTCTATGCATGCAGTAATGAAATAAAGTTACAGAGATATTGAAACGATGACAAGAATAATTATTATTTATTTTATTTAAACACATAAATATTGGTACAAGGAAGCACGAGATAAATATGCGCCACACAAATCTCATTCGATTTGCGTGAGAGCTGTGGTACTATTCAGGTGACCAAACTGAAGCAAATGGTTTTCTTAAGAGGCCACATCCCGAGCCTTTAACCTAAAGATCTGATCCACAAGGCAGTGGAGCATTGTAAGGAGATGCAGTCTCATGTTAGCCGGTGACCAACAATTGGTTCATACACCCTTTGTTCCCTCAGGATACTGGAGCCCATGTGCACCATTGGTTTGAAACCAGGGCTTTCCAATTCCCCTAAGTAAACATTCCGTGTCCGCCTACCCGGTTAAAACTCCGGACACTCATTTTTCGTCCCCTCATATTTGTGAACAACACCTGTTGTGCGAGAAGGTAGTGAGTAGGATTTCGCTGGAAGAGGCTACATACGCATGGCTATGTGAACATTTGGAGAGAGAGAGCGGACTCTCTACATTCTTGGCCGTACCAGGGTATATTGGAGTTGACAAGAATAAAGTGAAAGATCTATGAAATATAAGCCCACCCTTTATATCTTAGAGATATATTTACTTATCAAGCTTCAAATTTATTTCAGCCGCAATAGGTTGATTATAATTGCTATGTGTAAAGTACATATCAATCATATTTCATAAATAACAACATAAACAACATACAACAATATGTAAAGTAATCATTGATTAATACCTTAGGTAAATCCAATAATTCTTCCAAATCTTTATTAACTGTACCATTAGAATATCCACTAGTATTCCCATATTTATTCATTAATTTATTCATAATTAAATTTCTTGGTATACTAGTATAAACTGTAAAATCTAAAGGATTAATTGTATTCCTATGTTTTATTGATTTATTTTCTAATAAATTAGGATAATAATTTGGTCGAAGAATAGCTGCAGCAATAGATGGTGCTGGACTAGGTGTTTCACTTCTTATTGTTGTAAATAAATCCTCTTCATCATCATCATCATCATCATCATCTTCTGCTTCTTCTGCTTCTTCAATATCATCAGATCTACTATTTCGTTCATTTATATTATCATGTAGAGTAATTAAATTAGTTAAATCGTTTCCTTCATTTTGAAGTTCATTTATAAGATTAATAGATTTTGATTTATTATATTTATTTGATTTATATAAAGATGAAATAGATAGAACTGGATCATGTGTATAAGGAACATCTGAAAAGTCTGTCAATTTACATAATGCAGAATTTGATCCATGTATTAAAGGTCTTAATAGAAAATAAAGAAATCGGTAATTAAAGTGTAAAACTCAACTAAAACACCATAGTAAAACTTTATGTAATCATTTCATTGAAAAGTTTTCTAAGATAAACCATTGGTTACTATCTCTATTATTATTATTATAAGTTGACCGAGTTAAAACATTTTTTTCTGTAAGAGACAACAAACCAGATTCCACCCAGTGGAGGAAGAAATCAAGAAGGAGCACTGGAAGTGGATAGGACACACATTGAGGAAGTTACTCAACTGAGTCACAAGACAAGCCCTCACATGGAATCTTGAAGGTCAAAGGAGAAGAGAAAGACTAAAGAACACATTACTCCGAGAAATGGAGACAGACATGAGAATAATGAGCAAACGATGGATAGAACTACAAAGGAAGGCCCTGAACAGAGTTGGAAAATGCTGGTCGGCGGCCTATGCTCCATTGGGAGTAACAGACGTAAGTAAGTAAGTTAACACATGGATAGATAAAGAATGTACTCTTTAGTTTATTGGAAACCCTACTTATTAAAAAGAAGCTAACGACAAGATGTACCCGAATAAATTATTGGTACTGCTATTAATCTAATTATATAAAAAATTATGTACAAAAACATTTATCATCCTTTAACTACTAATAAGTAGTTAAGAAATATAAAGTAAATAAAAGGAGGAAATCAATGCTCATAGTCAAGTAAATGGCAATGCTGAATCACGTATCACATTCCTTACATTATAAATTCATCAATAGAATTTGATCTGTACTTCGAACAAGAAAACATGAGAACAGGTGTAGCAGCTCACATACAACTGAGTTTGTTTACGTCTAATTTGGTCAAGCCATTTTGTTAGCTTATTTAACGGACAGTCATTCGTACAACAACAACAACAACCTATCTATACTATTACACCATTATTACGTACGCTTGAGTATTGCTTAGTGCCTACGCATGTATTCATTCTTGTAACCTTACTATTAATCACTTAATTGATTCGATGATTCATGCTTTTCCATTTGTATATATATGTACATCTTAATTCCGTTCACTGTATTGCACTCGCTTACTCGCTGACTCGATCAACTGATCTCTCGCTCACTCGCCTGCTTTACGGTACTATTCTTTCATGCTTGCTTGATGTACCTGTAATTTTTGGATATCTCTGTGTGGTCAAATAATAAACGCAATCAACCCTTCGTATTCGCTTTCTAATTTATAGACCGTTGAGGGTTATCGAGTAATGGTTATCGGGACGAACAATATACGAAGTTTAAGGATAATATCGAATATCGATCACCACACAGGTACTATTTGAGTACCGATTGCTATAAACATCTTAATCATATAAGTAACCTGCAGTGATCATAACAGTTTAGTCATAACACCGTAGACTTTGACGATGATTAATATAGATTAAAATTCATAAATTATTTTTACTATTCATGAAGGAACAACCAAAAAATGTTGAAATATGGTGTCAAGGTTTACAACTTCTATTAGATCAAGTAGAAGGAATTTGGACTACTTGGTTGGGGTCCGCGCGACTATCGTAACCAATGGTTAGAGACTCTGGGTGATGGGGCTCAGAGTCGATCACAATAGCGTAGGTGTATACACTCCTGATGTTCCTTTAAACCTTGAGATTAAAATTTGTTTCATATATGTCTTCTTTCCTTATATACAACCTATCTTTTATATATTATCACCATTAAATTAACTGCTTCTATGAATCCGGTGTTCATCTTGTTGTGATAACGAGGTATGGCAACTTGGACCGATGCATATGTGTGCGTAGTCCTACGTTGTAGCTGACTGACTGGCTGTTCCATGTAAATACTGAAGCTGTATGTGAGAAATAAGTTATTTTTTCCCATTACTTTCTCATTATGATATCATCTTTTCGGTAATGCTATTTAGCAAAAAGAAAACACTTTAATTTCATGTTACGACTGTCAAAGATTCATCGAATCATCCAGATCAATGACAACGATATGAAACTCCAGTTATGTATGATTATGTTGAATTTATATTTGAATCTCTACGAGAAACAAACAAATATTAATGTATTTTCATAGTTGAAATCATGAGTCAATTGAAGTTGGACCACCATGGAAAACCTGGAAGCACTAGACGGCCGTTTCATCCTATAGTGGGACTCCTCAGCAGTGCGCATCCACGATCCCGCACTCATGAGATTCGAACCCACGACCTACCAGTCTCGCGCCAGAGTACTCAACCGATAGACCACTGAGCGGGCATCCAATAGTGTTAATGTCTAACTTCAACCAATCCACGAAGTTTGAGCAACCGTTCACCAATTATCTTCAGTGAGATAATATCTCTACAATAGACTTGGTTGAACTCCACTGGTCACTGCTTCTCACTAGAACTCCAGGATATACCTCTTGAAGTCAGTCACTAATGAGCATATGATTATTATCGGAAGGAATTTTGTGGAGATTTCAGTATTTTCATAGTTGAAATCATGAGTCATCTGTAATTTCATGATACCATAAATGTTAAAACATTAAATATTTTGCCTTTGGTCGATTATTGCATATTTCATAGGTGTTACCAATGTCAGTATTTCTGATGATCAATACGAGCTGAAGTTGTCACTAATTTAACTTTCTATATGTAATACCAAAGCAGATAAATAGCTATATATATCGATTGAGTATATTAGTATTTAAGTAATATATAAAGTTAAATGATAATATAATACATTGTTTACCGATTTTTAGGATTATTTCTATCCGTATAAATAGTAGTATTCCAATCAGTTGTTTTTAATGGATATTGTTTTTGTGGTAAACCATTAACCGTGTATCCATTTTCAATTCTTTTGCTTGGATTAATAGAATGATATTTGCCATTAGAGGTATTAAACTTCTCTATGTTCATAATCTGTCAATGAAATACCAAGAAATGTTAATGAATCAAAAAAATTTAAACAATAGAAGTTGAATAATCTAATCTTTGTACAAGCAATGATGGACGGTGGCTAGCAGTAGGATCCAGGACACGCGTTTCGTCCCATTGAGGACTCGTCAGCTGGATGTGCTTGCATCTCCAATGAATTATGTATTAATAACATTAGATAATTAATATAAATGAGTAGACATTATCATTCATTTGTTATACAGTTTTTTTTAATGAATAACAGTTTAGATTATTGGTGAACAGTCATCTGAATTGATTACCTCAAGTGGTGTTCGTCAAAGCTGTCCACTCCCTCCATTCTTGTTTAACATGCTTTAAGCGATAACATTTTCATCATCTAAATCTCCAGGATTTGAACTTTTACTGGGAGACTCACTTGTTGACTTAAAATATGCTGATGACATAGTTTTATTTGGTGAAGACGCTAACAAAATTCAATCTTCTGACCACTATAAGCAACAATTCATGCATGTTCGGGATGCGATTCTCCCCGTCGAAATGCAAAATGCTACTTCAGGATTGTGTTGCATCGACACCTGAACTAATGATAGTGAGACAAGTAGTTAGGCGTACTAGTATTCGATCATTGGTGTCTTCGAAGCATTGGTGGTATGTCCTGGGACCACCGAGTAAGTAATGGAGTTTTTAGGAAACTGGTACTAGATAAGGATGGCAAATCAATTGATGAAGTAGTGAAACTTCATCGGTTGAGATGGCTGGGACACGTGTTACGTATGCCCAACCACCGACTATATAATAATACGAACAACAACGCTAAAAAGCACAGGAAGATGGAAACTGCTGACACTTTTTCAAAGAACCATTATTATACAATAAGGAATAGTTTAGAACAGCTTACTCCTAAAAGAAATATACCTAAATTTAATGTATTCGTTTCGAAAAGTTAACATACATCGGCGAGACTAAACTATACTGACGACCTTTGAACGAATCTTAAATGACCTTGAGAAATATTAGCCAATCAAAATACAGTTAGTGTACAGTAAAAGTATATTATACTAAAGTCAAAGAATTAAAGGGGATACTGTTCTTTTACATGACTCAAAAACTTATCAAGTTTAGATATAGGTTTAGAAGTTCTAAAATCATAGTGCATCCGGTACAGAAACTCATCCATGTGGCTCCATAGTAGTCGGCCTCTAGAGCCATGATAAGGCCTCGAAAATTCTTTTAGCCTCGACCACACAGCTTCTATGTTGTTGGTATGTTGGTATGGTTTAGGGTTTAGGGTTAGAGTTATGCTTTGGGGTTAAGGGTGAGACTATAATTTATGGACGACCTTTGAGCGACGCTAGAGTGACCCTGAGAGTGTTAACATAATAACTAAGACTAAATGAGGGTTACAAACCTGTGTGAAGAATTCAAATTATGATTTACAGTTCATGATTAAGGTTAGGAATTATACTTAGGGTTTTCATCACGAACTGACATCAGCTATAATGCCAAAACTCTATTTATCCAAATGGATAATTGAATTCCGCGCCAAAATCTTAATAATAACTTCTCTTGTAGACGCTGAATTATCACGTCTTCTCTAAAATTCGTTGTAAACCCACCGTACGTAAGCATGAGGTACCAAACTTAGCGCCGTGACCTTGAAAACCCACGAAAGCTCCTGATTGGCTAGTCAGTATAGTTTAATCTCGCCGTGTCAAGTTTTAGAAATCTATTTAGGTCTCCTCTTGAAGAACTCAAAAAAACCTTACATTTTACACAGCCGAAACATAGAGCAAACTAAATTAATAATAATATCACCTCACAGATGGTTAATCAACATTCAGTAAATAAAAGTTATCACTCAAAAAAAAAGGAATACATACGTTTCCATTCATTAATTTATTCAAACCTCCAATTTCACCATTGTCAATATCTTCATCTTCATGACTACCTTGACTAATTGTTGGTAACATTATCCTTTGTGCTGTAGAATTTAAATGATCAGGAATCAATAACTTTGAAGTGTTCAACTTTGTTGTTTGATTTGATTGTAAATGATCATTAGATATCATTGATAACTTTTTATCTATTGACTCTAATGAAGGTTTATATGAATGTAATATCTTTTCACGTTCATTACATTGTGAAATTTCTGAATGACGCCTTGAGCTACCTACTCGATGTATAACATTTTTCACAGAGTCTAATAAACTATGATGCTAAAAAGTATGAAAATAAAATGAACAGATGACTTCAATATCAAATAGTCTTTATCATTTATGATTAAAAGATAAATAATCATAATGATACATACTATTGAGAACTGGAGGTTATGCACAGATATTTGAATTCTGTTATGTTTTATATTGAAAGAAACTTAATTATTTTTAACTGATTTAGTTGTTTAAATAGTAAACATAAGTAAAATCCAGAGATTCCTAATTTTTTTTTTTTTTTAGTAGTCTAAAATCTTAATTTCCTACCACTTTAGTTTCTTATTTTGTGAAATCAACATTTGATGAAATAGATTTTCTATTATTTCTTTAGTTTTTTTTTTTTTAGGATTATTGACTTCACTGTGATCGATGGTGGATATCAACATTGTTGAGATAATATATACTGTGAAGATTTTTATCTCATAATGGTGGGATGGTTGAAGACCAGAAAATAATGAAATGTGGTAGTTTTGGGATCACCCAACGAACTGGTTAACTTCAAATCATTATCTTAAAACATAATATATGTAATTATTTACTGAAATGTGAGAATTTTAAAGGTAAAGAATGTGCATAAGTATTTACTAATGACATAAAGCCACAACAACAACCAATCACTGGATTTTGACTGATTTGGTTATATAGTTGAATTCATGAGTTAATTAAAGCTAAACTACTATGGATAACCTGGAAGCACTAAACTGCCATTTAATCCTCGTATGGGACTCCTCAACAGTGGGCATCCATGGTCTCATCCGCGGAGTGTGCTCCATTACCTCGGCAAGTTATATCATCATCATAATTGAAGAATACATGATCAGTTAGTTCTCTTATTATAATTTCCTTTAATGAAACTTATTTAGAGATCACTTAGTTTAAATAACTGAATGCTTTAATCACTTATCAAAAAAGGATATTGTAAGAAGAAAATCACTGATTAGTTTCAGTACGTCTATTTAGACCATTCTAGCAACCTATAAAATTTTATCGTACAAAATATTCTAAACCACAAAATGTGAATGAAAAGACAATAGAAGGTGAATTACATTTTTTCATACCTCAACAACTCAAATTAAAATACTTTTAACATTTCACTTAACTTTATATAGTTGAGATCATGAGTCAATTGAAGCTAGACCACCATATACAACCTGGAAGCACTGAACTGCCATTTAGACTTAGTATGAAACTCCTCAGCAGTGCGAATCCACGATCCCGCCTCGCGAGATTCGAAGCCAGGACCTACCACTCTCGCGCCAGAGCACTTAACCAAGGAATCCCACAATAGAACGAAACGACTGTCCAGTGCTTACATGTTTTCCATGGTGGTCTAGCTTCAATTGACTCATGATCTCAACTATATAAAATTACTAAAATCTTCACGAAACCCCCTTCTGATGATTTCACTTAACTGTTTAGTTAGAATTTCTTTGAAGAAATAATAAAAAACTGAAGAATATCTTCAATATTCTTCAGTTTACAATATAAAATAAACATTTAATATGTATCAATAACTCCGCCTATAGCTCTTCTAGAGTTACTACCGGTCCCAAGCCCGAGTAAAGGAGGAGGGTTGGGCATGGAGTTAGCAACCCCATCCCATAGAAAATCTAACTCGCTAAAAAAACGTTAACCAGAAAAAAAATAATTCGATGTATCAATACTAACCGTATCACCATCACCTAGGCTACCAGAACTTCCACGTTTACTTGTTTCTTCAGATGGAGGTAATAAAATATTCATTGAAGTATTTTGTGTTTCAAGAGGGCCAGTTGTTGGCTTTCCAAAACTCTGCAAACATTATGATTATCAATAATATAGAAAATTAATTACACATCATTATAAGATGAAAATCTGATCAACTTATGTTTTTTTATGTAAGATATTAACAACCAAAACAAAGAAATAAACAATGACAGATTTATAGTCAATAAGAACTAATCAACATCGAAGTGCACAGGACAAGCTGTGAATCACATGTGGAGAAATTCAAACACTCCACTTCTACTCGAAGTTTGTGCTGATGATGTCGTTCAGAAAGATGATGAAAGCTTCACGACCAAATCATCCTACTCAGAGAACAAACCAAAATCAAAATAACAACAATATCAATGGCTTAGTGACTAGTGATAAAATGTTGTCCAGAATATTATTCACTATTGAAAATAATAATGTTTAATTTATTTGAGTAATATCTGTTGTGATGAATGTTCAATTTTAAATGCATATTAAGTGTCTAAATGAAAGTTGAGCATCACCAAGATAAAAGCTATCGATGTAAAGATACCGAAATCCTTGATCCAGTATCTCAGTTACACAGCTAAGTACATATATATTAAGTTAGGGGATTTTTGTGGAGATTTCAGGGTTTTCATAGTTTAAGCTAGGAAGTGTACATAGCTCGACCACTATTGAAAACTTGTAGGCACTGGATGACTATTCCGTCCTCATATAGGACTTCTCAACATCGTCCATCTATGATCTTGTACCCGGCAACTGTATTCAGGACTTTCAGTATCTTGAACAAACACAACCTCTAAATTCTTGAGCGGACATTAAATGTAGTCATTGTCTAAATTCAAACAATTCACAATATGGAGCAACCTTCATCCATTGTGTGAGGTGTGTGACAGTTTCACACCCGACACGGTTAATCTAACTTGGTCATGACTTCTCGCTACAGCTCCAGGAGCTAGATTTGGAGCGCATGATCATTGTCACTGTTAGGGGATTCATGGAAGTCTTAAAAGTTTCATAACTTTAATCATAAATGTGTCATTTATGTCATATCTTACCTCCATATAAATCAAAAAGTCATCATTCACTCTCAACACAAACGATCATATGTTGTTTTTCAATCTTCATTTAATTCGTTTCATCACGTTCTAATGAATTATGTAGTTCACAGATGGCGAGTAAACTAGTCATCACTAACGTTTATGATGATATTAATAAAGTAATTATGGCCATTTAGTGATTAGTCAATTTGTGTTGCATAACCTTTTGCTTAACTAGAAGTTACCGATAGCTACCATAGGACTGCATCTCCTTTTGATGCTCCACTGCCTTGTGGATTAAACCTTTAGGTCAAAGGCTCCGAGTGTGGCCCCATAAGAAAACCACCTGCTTCAGTTTGGGTACCCAAGTAGTATCACAGTCCTCATATAAATCAAATGAGATTTTTGCGGCACATATATATATCTGTTGCCCCTTTGTACCAATATTTATGTGTTTAAATAAATAAATAAATAATAAATGAATTTGTTCTGAACAATTCATCGAGACGAACTTACTTTGAATGGCATTATTGAATGTCTTTTCCCCTAAAAAAAATGATAATGATTAAAAAAATACACATTACAATGGACTTAACTTATTACCAATCAATAAGGATTACGTAATTAAATTATATTTTATTAATAGTAATCAGTAGGTATACTTTAACATAACAGTCTACAAGATTATAAAGCAACATATTCGCTAGTAATTCATTTGTATTGGTTGTTTGAATTCTCTTATTGATGTCTTGGATTCTTCTACTGGCCATCTTCTATCTATGTTCATAATATTTGTTAATATATAGTTGAAATCATGAGTCAATTGAAGCTAGACAACCATGGAAAACCTGGAAGCACTGGACGGTCGTTTCATCCTATTATGGGACTCCTCAGCAGTGTGCATCCACGACAGTTTATAAATGTTTGTAGATTATAAATACTCAAGAGTTTTCATTGTCATATACAGCCGTTATATTGAATATAAGAGCAATCGTCTAAATTAAAGCGAATAGTTTTACAGTATTTGAGTACCGAATTGATGTAAGACATTAAATAGGAAGAATATATTGACTATTTTTAAGAGAATAATAGTTGATGCAATGTAAGTGTTTTACATAATATCACTGACCAATTGATTTATTTACATGTATGGATGATAAATTCGCTTAGTATTGTTTTGTTTGAATCTTCCCATTGATGTTTTAGGACTGAAACTGGACAGTCTTTCACTGAGATATGTGTATACTGTGCGTATTGCCTCGATATAGCCTAAATTCACAAGCATGGTAAGCGAAGATGGGTAGTGGCTAGCTGTGGGATCCAGTTTGACGCACGTTTCGTTCTATTCGGGACTCGTCAGCTGGATGTAGTTGCATCTCAGAGTTGATGTTCGCTCTGAAACTCAAACCCACTACTATTCGCTTCAAACGCCATCGCGTTATCCACTCGGCCACTGAGTCCTGGCAGCGACTTGCCAGAATGAACATCAACTCTGAGATGCAGGAACATCCAGCCAACGAGTCCCAAATAGGACGAAACGCGCGTTCTGGATTCCACTGCTAGCCACTATCCTGTATGGATGATAGTTGAAAGATTAAAAGAATGACATGAATGACAGTATATGATTTATTTCATGAGGGAACACTATTTTTATTAGGCGGAGTTTTGTGGAGATTTCAGTATTTTTATAGTTAAAAGCATAAATCAAGTAAAACTATCGGTCTATCGGTTATGTGCCCTGGCGAGAGACTGGTAGGTCATGGGTTCGAATCTCGCGAGGCGGGATCGTGGATGCACACTGCCACTGAGGAGTCCCATATTAGGACGAAACGGCCGTCCATAGCTTCCAGGTTTTCCATGGTGATCTAGCTTCAATTGGCTCATGATTTCAACTATGAAAATTCCATAATTGATGAGTTTTTTGTCAAAACTTGTTGGGATAATCCTGAAAATTTCTCGCAATAGACCATGACAAGCTGAGGAAACACTAAAGAAGCATTTTATCCAATCAGCGTTTGATCAGAATTTTTACTAGAAATATCGCGAAAATGAAAAGCCATATGTAGAAGTTCTGACTGGCTGATTACTACACTGCTACTATATCTAGTAGTATTCTAGAATTTTCAGGAAAACCCAAGGACTTCTAAAATACTATAAAAACTCTATATTTTCTGTACATAAATGAATCGTTGGAGTAAAGTGCTTCCCGCATATTTTGCGTCTTTTCTCTCGTATTCAAGTCGTTGTGTACATCCAAATATAGCGTTTAATTAGCAAGACTTATCAGTAATGAAAGAAAGGTTTGTAGATCATAATTCTAATGGACATTACTGACAAGCTACAATAATTAATCCATAATTCACTGTATGAACAGATTTAAAATTTTGTAAAGAAAAAGCACCAACAGTTATGACGAATAATATATGAAAGACGGCTAGAAAACTTCATTTCCATAGTGTCACTCACACTTCAATTGATTGAACCCTAGCTCATTCAATTAAGAGATAAGTTTTCTGGCTTCTTTATTAACCCTTTTGTATCGTTTCTTTTCAAATATACTACTTAAACGCACTCCATACGAAATAATTTATAATTGCAATTGCTTTGGGGGGATTTTCAGAAAAACTTAAGGACTTCTAAACTACTATAAAAAACCCTATACTTTCTTTGGTGTAAAATGTTTGCTGCATATTTTGCGTCTTTTCTCTTGTATTCAAGTCATTGTATAGTTCTAGTTTGGGAAATTATGAGATTAGCTTACGATCTAAATATAGCGTTCAATCAACAAGACTTAACACTATTAGATTAAATCAAAAATTAATAAAGTAAATAATAAAAAAAAATTTTTTTTTTAAAATTTTTTTTTATTACCTGTCCATGTAATAAAGCTTTTTGTTCTTCAGCTTTTTTTTGTTTCCATCTACGAAACCATTCTTGTATTAAAAATGTTGCATAAAATTTACCAACTGTTACATCATTATTACCTAATAAGTAATGTAAAGCATTAAAAAAAAATTTTTTTTTTTAAAAAAACAACAAAATTACGGTATATAAAAAAAAAAAGAAGTAGGAAACCATAATTGATCTTTAATGTAATTAGTCCATTTGATCAATTTCAATAGTTTAGTAATAAGAAGATGAAGATTATCAGAACTATGGGATAAGATATTAGCACAATACATTTCGAACTAATCTGATCACATATAATAAACTCGTTAAGAATATTTATATATAGAAATGAAAGATCAACTAGACTGGAAGTAAGGGGGGGGGGTAAGAGGAGACAAGGATGATACTACTACTACTAATAATAATAATGTGAAAACAATTTGAAACTTAATCAATCTGGATAATAAGCTAAGATTACCAGGGTAGGTATAAACCGCTTTTAAATACACAAAAAATGAGGGGGGGGGTTAAAATTTCGTATGGCTAAGACTTCAATAAACCCTTAGTATACGCCCTTTTATACTTTTTATACAACACCATCAAAACCTGAATTAAGATCAATTATATAACCTGTTTCGTTTATATGTTTGGCAATAGAGGATGATGAATGTTTATCTTCTACTCTTAATGGGTCATTTGATTCTATTTGTTTTTACAACTATTTGATCTATTAAAAATAAAGATCAGTTTATAATTCAGTTGTAGTTTTGTAAATGAAAAGATAGAAAGTGGAAGAATGACATAATTATAGATTCATTCGAAATGTTGACCAGTTGGTTACATTGTTTTAAATATATTAAATTATTCAATTATTGTGTGTTAAAGTGTAATATTCCCTGGTAATAAACAAATTCTTTGCCTTTAACTCTTCCAAGGACTACTACCGGTCCCAAGCCCGGGTAAAGGTTGAGAGTTGTGCATGAGGTTAGCGATTTCATCCCGTAGAAAACTAACTGGCTAAAAAAGCGCTAACCAGGAAAATTATCAATAAAATAGATTATAGAAATATGATGTTAATTGATTTGACATACCAATTACCATATTTGACAAAGAGGTAACTTAAGATAATTAGATAAAAGCTTTGAAAGTTATTACGTAGGTTGTTTTTCACTCATTAGTATGGCTAATATGTATCAATGAATTGTTGTTTATTGCTTCAAAAATCCCATTTGTAATGATAATAATAAACACAAATAGATCACAAGTAGACTATTTAAACTTGTTATATGATAATTTACATTAGTAAGCGGCATAAATCATGAGAAAAATCATGAAATAAACTGATCAGCTAGTTGTTTTTGTTGATCTAGCAAAAAGAAACTGTTGTTCAACCAAAACTCGACTAAAATACATCATTAGAAATGAGTCTTGCTGAAAAATAAAACTACTAATCCAGCTAGTGTTATGTTGAGATTATTCAAAAAAGAACAGATAGGATGTTTTTCAAAATATATAGAGAGAGAAATTAAATTTCTAAGGGAATAGAAATATGTCCAATTTAACTAGAATGATAATAAAGGCTTTCAAGTTTAAATAGACTACTGAATAAATCAATCTGATGTTGTTGAAATGTAACCAGGTGAACTAAGGATATATAGTATATTAAGTCAATCTTGTTCATCTAGATAAAAGTGTTCAGGCTGCTAACGTCTGGTATGACACACATCTTTATGATTGTATTTTATGTATTCATACAGTATTTCATACAGTGATAAATAAGCTAAGGACATACATCAGGAATAACTTGAGAAGGGATCAGTTAACCACAAAAGTGATATTCACCTCAAGATAGTTTGACATGATTATCCGAAAAACTGTAGAAACAACGATAATACCTGCTGATAAGTTAAAACTAAAGGTCAGGATAAATAATGAATTTCATTGGCGTCTATTGAACTGATAGATGATAGGAAGTTTATCCCGTATAGCTCCAAACATGATGAGGAAAAGAGGTAATTAAAACACAAACTGATAAGAAGCTCATGCAGTGATCTTGAGCTGTGGTGGGTAGAGAAAAGGGAAGTCATGGAAAAGGCAGCAGCGATAGGTAACAGTAAACAACTGATGTTAAGACTTGCCAAGGAAGTGAGTATTAAAAAGACGGCTGTTAGTATGATTATCTCTGAGAGAAATAACACTATTATTCACTCGTAATCCAGAAGATTGTACAGATGGGCCGAACACTTTGGAGGATGGTTCAACAGGCCTTCAGACACAGTTTAGTTACCCCACATCTTCAAGCCATCTGAATGGCGAGTTGATGAAAGTCCTGAAAGCCTTAGTGACGTTGAAAAGGCTTTTGACAATCTTAAGCGAGATTGTAGACAGCACGGCCTGGTGAACTGACTTTCAAGTTTTATAAGTATGGTGGCACATTTTCAGCAGTTACATTAACTGAAATCATAACTAGAATCCTGGGACTGGATGAAATTCCATCTGATTTGTTAGGATTGATGAACGTCCTAGTCTATAACAAAGGACAAAACTCTTTTTGTGACTGTTATATCCCCTGGTGAATTATGGATCGTAAATCTGAGGTCTATTATCGATCAATGTATTATTCCTATTTCTTATTGTACAGTTGTTACGTAACTAAATTATTCATATTCGTGTTTTCTATTATTTTGATCTTTGATTTATGATCATACGATTCTTGAGTTATAATCAGTTTATTGATTACTTTGGTTTGTATAAAAACCCAGTATGCTTGTAAATAATGATTCATATTTCCGAGGCAGATAGCAGGGCCGATACGCAATCAAGACTGCTCGTACAATTTCAATCATCATTTGCGTCCGATCAATAAATTCACTCCTCTCTAAATTGGCGTTCATATAAATTACGGGCCCATACGATATAACAACTGACGACAGGGTAAAAAAATGGCTTTAACTTCCGATCAATTTCAGTTGCTAATTCAAAGACAAGAGCAGCGTTTTAAAAAGAGTCAGTTGGATTTCATTGACAAGTTACACGCGACGCTGCTGAATCACCCATGCTTTGGGGGTGCAACGGAAGTTGACGCATTGATTTCTAAATTGCGTATAGAACTGGAAATCGATTACAGAACAAATGAATATGCAGAGGAAAGCCTCTATGAATCCGCGAAAAACAGTAATTTAGATGCAGCAGTAACAGTGCTACATGATCAGCCCAGTAGTCCGGTGCTGCCTGTTTCAGAGACATGCCCTATACACGGTCCAAGTCCTATTAACCCCGAAAACGGACGTGCAAACAGTGGATCAACCTGTTTACAGAAAGACAATGTTTTGCTAAATGCTCATGAAATTACTGTAGTACCCGCCCACGAAGAAACGGGGAACAAATCGGGCAGTATATTGAATACAGTGACGCCAAATCAAACCAGTCATTATGCAAAAAAGTTTTTTTATGAATCTAATGATCAAGATTATCTAATTGTTCTGCCAGATCCCGATTATTTTGCTGATTCATATGTTCCAGTTCAAATCTCTTATAAAAATGGGAGAAAAATATCGGATGCATTAAATGATAATCAAGAATCCAATACAAATTTCATAGATACTGATTATCCTAATGATTCATTATTTACTAATGAGGTTCCGAGTAAATTCAAGGAAACTGTTTCAGAAGAATCAGACGCTGGTGACCTCAAATCGAATGTAGTCGATCCTCACGATCTAATAAGTTCTCGTGGATTCTCAGCTAAATACGACGAATATGTTTTAAATAATGTCACAATAATGGTAACTTGGGTTCATGAGGATCCAACAGTCTTTCGTGGGGGGGGGATGAATTCGAGAAATTAAAAATCCGGATGTCAACTCCGGATTTCTCAAAAAGGGGAGGTGTTATATCCCCTGGTGAATTATGGATCGTAAATCTGAGGTCTATTATCGATCAATGTATTATTCCTATTTCTTATTGTACAGTTGTTACGTAACTAAATTATTCATATTCGTGTTTTCTATTATTTTGATCTTTGATTTATGATCATACGATTCTTGAGTTATAATCAGTTTATTGATTACTTTGGTTTGTATAAAAACCCAGTATGCTTGTAAATAATGATTCATATTGCCGAGGCTGTTATTTGTGTTCTGGACTCAACTGGCTGGGCTAGACAGATAGGAAGGACCGAATAGTACCCAAGACTGCTCAGGGCATACGTTATAACAGTGACGCTCATAGAGGAATCTGTTTTACTAGTATATTGTCTTCAATATTAGCCTCAATAATACTTTGACATCTAACTGAAGCTTGTAAAGACCGAAGATAAAAATATCAGAAACTTGTAGTATCTAAACAAGGCTTATATAAACCTTTTTTACAACAATTCGAACTTGTTACATATTCGTAACAAAATTTTGCTTTAGATCAGAAGGGGCTTTGTGGAGATTTCAGTATTTTTTATAGTTGAAATCATGAGTCAATTGAAGCTAGACCATCATGGAAAACCTGGAAGCACTGCTTTAGAGCCGTTTCGTCCTATAGTGGGACTCCTCAGCAGTGCATATCCACGATCCCGCCTCGCGAACGTGATTCGAACCCATGACCTACCAGTCTCTCGCCAGAGCACTTAACCGATAGACCAATGAGCCGGAATCCAATAGTGTTAATGTCTAACTTCAACCAATCCACGATTTTGAGCAATCGTTCACCGATTGTCTTCAGTGAGTTGTTATCTCACAACAGATATGGTTGGACTCCACTGGTCACTGCTTCGCACTAGAACTTCAGGACATATATCTTGAAGTGAATCACTAGTGAGCATATGATTATAATCAGAGGGGGGTTTTGTGGAGGTTTCAGTATTTTTTATAGTTGAAATCATGAGTCAATTGAAGCTAGATCACCATGGAAAACCTGGAAGCACTGCTTTAAGGCCGTTTCGTCCTATTATGGGACTCCTCAGCAGTGCACATCCACGATCCCGCCTCGCGAGCGAGATTCGAACCCAGGACCTACCAGTCTCATACCAGAGCACTTAACCGACAAACAACTGACATTTTTTCAACATCAAATTCTCATATCTTCTAAATCAATAAATTTTTCC